GTATTTAACAAATACTGTAAAATATAATGTTCTAAAATATATAATTTTTTGTAAGTAAGCTGTAAAAATAAATATGAAGATCAATTAAATGATAAAACATGTGGTAAAGTTCTTCTATTTATTTATTGGTCCATTTCTATATTTCTGCTTTCATCTGTAATGATGTCAGATTGGGTTCTCCATACAGTCATGTTGGTTTTTATAATTAAATGTTTTCATTAGTTTTAATAAAAGTCTCTTTTTACATAAACTTTATTCAAATAAAAATAAATATTTTATATAAATCAGCACATTTAATGACTTTGTTTTCTTTATTTTWAGTTTCTGGTCCAAAACGAGGCTCAAGTGACCTGGACCGGGTCTGCGGACCTGCAGTTGATCATGGACCAGGCTAGTTCTGTGGTTCTGGACACATTTTATTTACTTAATGACGGGTCAGAACCGGCTTTTTAGACCGTGGGTCTAAGTGACCCTGAACCTGGTYCTGTCCAGTTCAAGATCCAGAACCACAGAATCAGACCCACCTGCTGGTTCTGGCCCGGTGCTCCAGGACCACAGACAGAACCTTCATGTTGGTTCTGGTCCATCTTCAGGAGGTTTCAGAGGTTTTTACAGTAATTTTCTCTCAGGAGAGGCCAGCAGAACCATAGGAAGCTCGGTTCGGTTCCGATTCTAAACTGACCCTGTTGGTCCCGGTGGTCTCGGGTTCGGTTCTGGTGGAACCAGAAGGGAACCTGTAAATGATCCTCAGTCTGCATGACTTCATTTAAAATCCGTGTGAAATAAAAGAAAATAAAGAAAATAAAGAAAWGAAGGAGGTTCTGACTGGAACGAACCGAGCCGTCGGTTCGGACACGAACCGGACCCGGTTCGGGCAGATCTTACTGGGATGCCATCAACAGGTTTCAGAGAAACCCAAACTAATCCGGGACCGACGGTACCGAGACACCTGCGCGTGACGCCGACGTTCGTGTGSGCGGCGGCCGACACACGGTTAGCGTGCAGCTCCGGTACTTCCGGTCGCTCGGTCCGTGTTTGTGTCGCTGCACCGCGGSTCGGTGTGTCCGGTTCCCGCACTTACCGTCAGCTGTGGACAGCTCCCAGGTGCTGAAACRAGTCCCGCCGGTTGCTAGCTAAAGCACCGGAGACCGTGCGGGGCGGGGCCAGAGCCACGGAGGCTGATTGGCCCAGACGTGTCTGCTTCCTGCTCAGCGATTGGCTGAGAGGCGTGTCAATCAGAGCGCTCATCTCAGAGGGTTAAAGAAGCTTAAAGTTTTTAGTTTGGATTAAAACTACTTTTATTTACTTTTAACAGTATAAAAAGATGTCAGGGTCAAATTAAACTATTTAAATACTTCATGTTTAATAAACTAAGATTAACCTACTTTATCCAGCTTTTAGTTTCAGCTGTTTTATATTTTCAAACCTTTTAATTAGAACCAGTCCAGATGTTAAATCAACCAGTCCAGAGGCGTGTCAATCAGAGCGCTCATCTCAGAGGGTTAAAGAAGCTTAAAGTTTTTAGTTTGGATTAAAACTACACTTTTAACAGTATAAAAAGATGTCAGGGTCAAATTAAACTATTTAAATACTTCATGTTTAATAAACTAAGATTAACCTACTTTACCCAGCTTTTAGTTTCAGCCGTTTTATATTTTCAAACCTCTTAATTAGAACCAGTCCAGATGTTAAATCAACCAGTCCAGATGTTAAATAACCAGTCCAGATGTAAATCAATATACAAAATTTTATTATAAAAGAAAAATCGTTCTACAAGTTTAAGTTCCACTTTAAAACAACTGCAAACATTTTTAACCCAAAGCTACAGATAAATCCTGAAGTAAAACAGTGAACAAACAAACAGAACCCCAGCCTGGGCCTTCAGAACCAAGGTTCAGAGGGAGGGAATCTGCCTCCTGCTGCAGCTGAACCCGGTCTGATCCAGTTAGATCCTCCAAACAGCTGGTTAGAGGATCTAACTGGATCAGACCGGGTTCAGCTGAAGTGGGTCCAGGATGGAACAGAACCAGGTTCAGTAGAAGGAAGTGGATCAAACTAAATCCCTGAATGAGACGAGGCCTCGGGTCGGGTCTGGACCCACAGGACAGCAGGCTACATGTTGTAATCATCCACACAAAGAACAGGAGTCAAGCTGAACAAACTTCACATCCTTAAACAACAACAACAACAACAACTCTTATTCATCATCATCCTCATCATCGTCATCCTCCTCCTCGTCTTCCTCA